AAGCTGTGCCTATAACATAGTCACAAACAAAGCATTATATTCCAATGTTTATCTAACCACACTGATAAGTTTCGGCAACACAATAAAAAATGCTTCTGATAACAATTGTTTTGATTGTTCTCTACTTTTCTAGAACATACTGGATTGCATTCTTTATTTCATTTGCAATGTAATGAATGTAAATATTACACTATCGAGAGAATAATGCAATATCTTATCTTAATGCATCAGGTTGCATATAACTCTTTCAACGAGTATGATAATATAATCAATTTAATATGAACATCTACTATTTATTTAACACTAGCTTCTGCCAGCGAGTTAGCCCGCATACCCATGGGATAAAAAATATCGTATGTCTTATTTCCGACCCTAATCTACCTGTGCACAACATTAAATTTTTATTTCAAATTTTTCTGACAATAACAAACACAATTAAAAACAATTGTGTAAATCGGTCCAGTCGTTCACGCGTGTTGTGTGACCAAGGGATATAGGGATCCATTTTTATATAATTATATAAATTAAAACATTACATTCGGTCTCTATATAAATATCTCTAAACATATTTATTTATTTATTTTATGTTCAGCCATGATCGTCCCACTGCAGGGCCAAGGCGGCCTCCCTACCTTCTTTCCACTTCTCTCTATGTAAAGCTTTTTTACCGAAAATGTATAAGAATATAACACTACTGACTGATACATATCAGTAATAAGTAAAGATAATATTTGAGTAGGTAACCTCATCAGTTCATGGTCATTATTTCCAAAGTTTATAAATGTTTATTCTGACCTGATTGCAGTTCTTTTCTTTTCATACTACAGACTTACTTGGACAAAGCAAATGTGTGGTTACTGCCGCAAGCAATCATTGCAATTGGAACTCCAAGCAGTGAAGTAATCGCTTGTGGAATCATTTCTTTGTTAGTCATAGTACCTAATCCACATTGTCCATAGCTATTAGCTCCCCAAGAAAATAGTTCACCATCTAAAAGAAAACATAGGATTTTTAATAACAATAATTGTTAACAATTAATAATTGTTAAGATTCTTGACAAACTTATCATCCCATATCTTTAACTACTTCCGCGTGGTTTCATACGCTCTGCTCGGCTCCTATTAATCGTGGCGTAATGTTTTATAGCCTATAGCCTTCCTCGATAAACTATCCAACACAAAAACAATTTTTCAAATCAGACCAGTAGTTCCTGAGATTAGAGTATTCAAACAAACAAACAAACTTTTCAGCTTTATATAATAGTAATAAGTAATAAGATAAGATACAATTTCGATTGAACCATGGATCTTATGTTTTGCATGAGAATGAGTCATGTATACAGTCCACAGTCCGGCTATAACAAGTTTGTTCAGAAATTGGATTGCATTTGACTATGACAATTACTTTTAGGATGACACAAATTTAATACAAAAAACAATAAAAAATATGTAACACTCAACTTGTATAAGTAATAATGAATTCATCAATTAATCATAATACTAGTTACTTACTGTTTGTCAATGCTATTGAATGGTAAGCTCCACATGCAACTTGTATAACATTTCTTGTGGCTAGTACTTTTACGAATTTGGGCTTATCTTGTGCATGCATGCCCAAATTGCTGCCCAATTGGCCCATACTATCCGAGCCCCAACTGAACAGCTGTCCCCACTCATCCACTGCAACGGAGTGCTGTATACCACAAGCTACTGATGACACTGTGCATTCTTTAAATGTTTCAACTAGTGCTGAAAAATAACTTTAATAAATACAAAATTGTTTTAATGTAACATTTATTGTAAATACACCTATTTCTCTCCCAAGAAGGCTGTTAGAGGTGTTCAGTTCCACTTTCATTGTTTAGTAAACAAATTTAATGGGGGGGAGGGGGGGGGTAAGCTTATAGCAGGGTAATATTGTAATATTGATGATATATTATATAAGGTAGACATTGATTAATCCTACACCCCATTTCTCATACCACATCAAAATCAGTAACTTAATAGTTATTCATTATAATGATTTCAGCAACAATTTGAAATTGTTTGACACAATATGTATATTTTTCAGAATTATGTAGTGTTCACTATTTGAATAGGTAACAGAACTGCAGAACCAACCTTCAATTTACATAAGTCAAGGTATCACATGTTTGAATGAATGCATTAATAACAATAGTGTTGTGTGTTACATTTCATCTGAATAACAGATGAGTGGAATAAAATGGGAGTGTACTCACTGTTTTATAGAATTGACACTTTTGGATTAAAACTTCCTTGCCATTAATAGTTTTAATTACATGATCATTAAAATTATTATGAATATGTAAACAAAAAGTAGGTAGTTGAATTAATAATTATTAAAATTTCCTAGTCATTTAGGCAAACAAGACTTCTTTAGCATATAATAAATTAATATGAATATTATATAAAGAACACTAAATAAACTAATGTGGTTTTGTTGTGTCTTTTTCATGCATTCTTCCATAGTTCCCTTGCATTGCATCAGTCTCTTTACTTTCACCTTACACAATATTTTTTAAATATTACATTATGAGCCTTCATAAAGCCCTTCTGTAGGTAAAGGTCCAATGCATTTAAATAGAAAGTAATGCACTAGAAATATAAATTATAACAATACCAGGTGTTTTTCCTTCTCTGTTATCTGTGTGGCGACCCAGTTGGCCAACTTCATTATTTCCACATGAATACAGGTGTCCACCGTTTGTCAGGTACATTGTGTGGAACTCTCCTGCAGCCACGGCCTTTATATGGTTGCTCTCGCGCCATTTCGATAATGTGGGTTTTATTACCTTTTAATACAAAGAGAAAAATAGCTTTAGGATGGATGACAGAGGTAGCACACTTTTCAAATCTAATAAGAATCAGTGTACATTTCAGTATCTATCAATACGACAATTTTACCTATTACTAATTAAATTTTGTAAAAGTAACTTTAACAGAATCACGAATGAACTGGAACCTTGATTTATCGATAATATCTAATAATAAACCGCCTTCAGTTTTACCTAACCCTACTTATACATCAAAGTAATTATTAGGCGCAACTAATTTACTTACCAAATCAAGAGTTTCAGGACCTTCTATGCACAATTCATGATAAGTCGCATTACCCCAACAAAACATTTTTGTGCTGTTATTTTGCAATGACTTTAAAATTTTACAACTTATGTATAACCTCTACTTCCGATCCAGATCAGTCTGATTGAGAGGTAGTTAGGAATCTAATTATTCTAAGCCAGGAGCTTTACACAGTTAATTTTATTTGCAACATAGTGGACGAAAATAATAAAAAAGCATTTTCAAAAAGTCGAGAACAATCTTCAACTTTGGCTGTCATTAGCGCTGTCAGAATTTAGGATGCGTTCACTTCAGTGATATTTAATAATTTATAATTTACCGATGTTAGAATAATATTCGACTAAATTCTTTATTATTTATTACACAACATCAACATCAGAGGTGCGCATTACGGCACTTAATGCCACTGTACAATATAACATCCACTTTTCACTATTTATGTTATGATTATAAGTCCTATGTAGTAGGGAGTGAGCCTGTTGTCATATACCGGGCACATTTCTTAACTCCGTGCTTCTACTTAAAAACCTAGTACTACTTTGTCCAACCCGGGAATCGAACCCGAGAACCCTTGCCCGGCAGTCGCACTTGTGACCACTCGGTCAGTGAGACAGTATCCAGTATTTTTTTATTCTAAGACAGAAATTAATGTAATTTAGTCTTGATTTAGGAATAAATAACGCAAATGAAGTAATTCTTTATCTACAAAGTAAGATAAATATCTTCTATCACGCCACGAGTTCATACCCACTACCACTTGTCATCAGCCTTAATGCTTGCATAAAACAAGGACGTTGAATAAAATTATGTATTTTGTTTGAAAAACTTAAGATCACGGACTTTAAAATGTTTGAGACCTAGGAGTATGCTTTAAAAGTTTTAATAAATTCCAGAGGATGACTGAATAAGTTAGCATAGTTCCCAATTTACCTGTTTGATTTTCTTTACAATTTTAATTAATTTATAGGGCCCATTTTTCAGTTTCTCGGGTTTATTTTTGTTGATATAGTATTAAGAAACAATTAATAGTACCCCTTTCCTTCCTTTTCTAAATACTATCAAAAGTTGAAAAATATTTGTAGTCAACTGTACTGATTATGATAAAAAAAATATTGAACGCAAATCGGTCAATAAACTAAGGTGTAATCAGTGCACATACATAGAAAAAAAACATAAATGCTGAATGGGGGCTATCGTATTTCTGGTCATCAGATGGCGCAAATGTAGGAAGAGATTTTTCGTCCAATCACAGCACTTGTCAAATATTTAACGTCTAATGCGGTGACACTAGCTAAACTCCTATTGGACGAAAAACGAGAGAGATCACACAAGATGGTGGATGAAGATGGTGCCATCTAGTGTGCAAAAATACGATAGGCTCCATTGTATTTTTATAGTGGGTACCTTGTTGTTGTACAATATAAAGTTAATTTTATTAGTTGAACTTGAACAGAATCAGAACTTAATTTCTTATTTATTTTGTTATTTGTCCATTAAAAATTTTGCATTTTCATCACTAGATGGCAGTGTAATCAATTTGCTGTTATGTATTGGTTATAGAGATGTAAAAGGTAGACCGTAGAGATGTAAAGTTGGTAAAGTTGTAGCTATACTATAGATAGATAGATGATGGTACTATGGGACGTTGTTCGGCCATATTTGTTTTTGTTATTGTGCTGATGGGAATTTATATAGATCGTTTGATTTTAAACTAGAAAGTTTTACATTCTGTGATGTATTTTGCTTCATTATATCCTTTTGAGTTTTTTTATCTTGTGACATAAAGTCTTCAAAACAATTAAGAGTTATGTTAATTCAGTGACTGTGGATACCCCCTTGTGGTAGATTGCTGTTGTGCTGTTCCAGAGCAGTTTATTGAGAGAATTCCATTAAAATCTCACTATCGTGGCGGGGGCTTCAAGTAGCAATGGCAAAGGGGGCCGACAGGCCGCCCCAGTTGACGTGGGGTCTCCCCTACTCGACTGGGAGGAGGCTGACCATTTCAGTTTTGAGGATTCTGAGAGATTCGAAGAAGATTCCTTATGCAGCTGGAGTTCAGAGCCTGAGAGTCTTTGCAACAACTGGCGAGGTTGGAGAAGGCCAAACCTTCAGAACTCATTTGGAACCCGATCGACAAAAAAGAACATTCAAGGTAACTATACAGCTGATTCTTTGTTTCGATTTAACTATTGAAAATGCAAAAGATTTCTTGGCGAATCACGTCAACGTAGAGATGTTGTGTTAATTTTATGTCATGTTTTCTATAAATAGCTTTATTCAGCTTATATTTTCATTAAAGAGCTTTGATGCCATAATCTATAGGTACTAATTGAATGTACATTGTGTTTAGTGATACAAAGAACAGGTGCTACAAGTCATTTACCTTTGAATGAACTGTGTACTAAATGGTACCTTTGGGTTCAAATCCTTGCGTTTTCAATGTTGTGCCATTTTATTTTATTATCTTATGTGAATGGAGTATGATGTTTTTTGTGCAAGTCAACTTTCTAACTTTCACTGTTGCTTTTTTTAGTAAAAAAGTGATAGTGTTATGAATTAAATATGACCATAATTGTTTTACTAAAATAAAATCATAAAAAACACATATTTTGTATTGACAAAAAATGCTTATTTGTAGTAGTTTGTAATAATGTGTAAATGTACTGCATTATTAATTATGAAATGCTTTTGTAAAATAGTAGATGTTATTATTTTATTTATTAGTCCTATGCTTGTCCTTTAAATGTATTTATTCAGTATTACAATATCCTATAAAACTAAAAATTAATATACATTGAAAAAAAGTTTTGGACTTAAATAATAACATATTCTATAATAATAAAGTGCAAAGATTGTGGCACTCACATGAAACAATGTATATTAAACTTTACAGAAAAGACAGTTTCAACACTAAGTGAACTTGCAGCAAAATGCGTAGCATCTCACATACCATTTGAATTAGTTGAACATGTCTATCCACCGGTACCGGAGCAACTTCAACTCCAGATTGCATTCTGGAGTTTCCCTGACAGTGAAGACGACATCAGGTTGTACTCCTGCCTTGCAAATGGCTCATCTGATGAGTTCCAGAAAGGGGAACATTTGTTCAGAGACAGAGCAGTCAAAGATGTCTTACAAATTGGTAAGTAACATTGCAATTGAGACTCTGTAATTACATGATTAAGAGTCAATGTTTAAAATTTTGCTTATTTTTATATTCTTGATACATATTTTGACTGTTGTTTCATAGGTTTCCACTTATCTGCAACAGTAGTTGTCCTAAGTATGCCTCGGGCGCAGTTCAATGTGGCTGTAACCTTTGACAGACAAAGAATATCATCCTGCAACTGCACTTGCTCCTCAACAGCTCATTGGTGTTCCCACATTGTTGCTGTCTGCCTTTACAGAATACACCTTGTAAGTATACATAAATCTTACATTTGTGTGATTGTGGCGAGTCATATAAATATGAGAAAGGAATAGTTTGTTCACACAAACAATCAAAATTTGACAAATACTCTGGTCAATTTTAAATGCTGAAGAAAATATTTTATATCTACTATGTGCCAAACATGAGTTATGTACACTGTACAGATCTGTCTATTTATAGATGAGACATTAACTCATCTGAAATGACTAACCAACCAGTAACCTTATAGTTTGATCATTGCCAACTACTCTGTGAAAGTATTGCTAAATCTAAACTTTGGCAATGTGGCAAGGTTTATTTGAAGTTAATTAGGTGTTATTGATTTGGTGTTTTTCATATTATATTTTTTTTTATTTCTACATCATAGAATGTAATTAATAAAGTTGATTTTAATATATCAATGAATACATTGCATTTGCAGAAAAGATACATTGCAGAAAAGTGTAGTGTATTGCTAAATATAGCAATACAGTGCAATTATGCACCAATTGTTTAATTCATTAACTAATTTCCAAACAAAGTATATTGCAGTTTTACTTAATTTTCTATGTTTGTATTAAAACAATATCGACGCAACTATGATTCAGTGGTCGAGTGGGAGGTACCATTAACAGTTCAGGAAACTTCATGAGTAGGAAATTAATTAGTAATTACTTATTTATAGAAGAAGTGATTAAAGTCGTTAATTGTTTAAATGAATTTATCAGTCAATTAATTATTGTTTTTGTTTATCTACTCTAGCCAACTCAAGTGTGCTTGAGAGCACCAGTGTCGGAATCATTGCAGCGGTTACGAAGAGATCAGCTTCAGAAGTTTGCGCAATATTTAATATCAGAGTTGCCGCGGCAAGTTTTGCCGACGGCTCAACGTATTTTGGACGAACTTCTGTCTGCGCAGCCGAACACAATAAACACGACATGCGGTGCACCCGATCCTACAGCCGGGGCTTCGGCTTACGAGTACACATCCTGGTTCCTTGACGAGAAGACGTTACATAACAATATTAACAAGATTTTAGTCAAGTTCTGTGTTCCAACGCCTATAGTATTTAGGTAATTTTTTTTCTTACTCATAGCTAAATGTAGACGTACTTCATACTTAAACAGACCAAGTAAATATTTTTTTTATATTTCATGACTTCTCCGTTGTAATATTATCGGTTATATTACTTCGCACGATGTCAGTTATTTTCTCATGAGATTAGTTAATTTTAATCTTTACATAAAATCCTGCAGCGATGTCAACTATCTAAGTACAAGCGCGCCTCCCGCTGCGGCAGAATGGTCGTCGTTGCTGAGGCCACTGCGAGGCAGGGAGCCGGAAGGCATGTGGAACTTACTCTCTATAGTCAGAGAGATGTTCAAGAGAAATGACAGAAATGCTATACCTCTTCTGGAAATTATTACTGAAGAAGTTATGGCCTGTGAACAGGTAAGTTTTTATTTACTCTCACTACGGGAAATCGTTAAAAAATGTCATTTGAAGATGGTCAAGATAAATGTCATATTGTTAATTTGTTTATAACAGATCATAGTATGGTGGTACACAACTAAAGCTGCTTTAGTAGCATGGGGCAACAACGGAGGTGGCGGCAAGCATGGCGGCGGTGGTGGGAATTCTGCCGCTCAACATGCCTGCTCATCACTGTGTGACGAGGTACAAATACTGTTTAGTTAACAGTACATTCAAATTGTTTACGATCTCAAAAAAATCGTTAACAATTTGAATATAAAAAACAAAGAAAATATATGAAAAAGTTTTTACGGCGGTTGTTATTTCACAGCAACATTATTTTACGCGTACCTACAATCAATGTTTTGGTATCTCTCTCTATAGTTGCACTTCAAATAATGATGACGTGTTCGGCCCACATCGTGATCTCCGCCAATTTCTGGTTATGGATAACAATAAAAGATAATACAACCGTTTAGATATAATATCACGCTAAAACATATTTTTATGAGATGCAGCATATTTTTGGTTTATGTTGAAAAAATACTGTACTTCAATTTGATTGCTTAATCTATGATGTGTCCATATTACATAAATTTCATAATTTTAGAGACTGAAATATTTTATTATTGTTAACTTTTTCTTCCGTATACAGGTGGTTGTATTGTGGCGTTTGGCTGCTTTAAACCCAGCTTTAGCACCTCACGAACGTGACACACTACACGAACAATTTGCACAATGGCACATGAAAGTGCTTGATAAGGTAAATAAGGTAAATCATCATGTCACTATTTCGTAAGTACTAGTGACACTTTTGTTTAATTGACACTTATAATACAAAAACTATGCATAACACAATTAAATAGACATTGAAGTAAAAGTTTGTTAATACACACAATCACAAATACATCATTATGTTTAGGTATACATCAGTAAACTTTCTTAAACAGAATCTATCTAGCACAATACAAAGCTGGGGCCTAGATTGTAATACTTTGGTATCTGCTATAACTAAACCGTGTTTACATATACTTTTGCAAATAAATACATTATTATTCTATACACCAACCACCATCATCGTCAATGTAATTAGAGAATAAAACTTTAACCCACGATTGTCCTCTTTGAAACAGGTGGCGAAGAGTCGTAATACTCATATACCAGCAAGTTCGTCGTCACACAGTCGTCACTCGTCACGTTCTCACTCACATTCTCCTTACATCAATGGCATAAGTGAGAACGAAGTGTTTCCCGGCTTTCACCCAGCAATGGAAGCTTGCTTCTTAGAGTGGGACGACTATCAGATACCGGGCGTCACATATACTAAAGACTTGAACCCCCTTTACCATAGCCCTTTCACTATCTTCAGACATGCGGACAAGCAGAATGATAGTGTGCATCAGGTATGTCGTTTGTATAATAGCTTGTGGGCTGTGGGTGGTTAATGTACAACTGTTCAAGAACTAAAACCCGATTTGCTCGTAAGTTTTATTTCATATTTGTTGACGTTTCAAAAGTACCAAATTATAGTTTAATTGAAATAAATGCTTTTGAGTTTTGAGTTTTTTTTTTGATTAATAGTGTAATTTCGCTGAAAACTACTTTTTTCGTGATTGTGTTTTTTATAATATTATTTTTATATTTATCTGAAAACTTCGGTAGATGGTTTTGGATTTTGAACAGGTGTTCGACTATCGGTAGGTTTAAATTAAAAATTGCAGAGCATTTGAGTTGGTTCATTCAGTTGAGCTTAAGACTGTTAAGTCTTCACCATTATTTTTTTTTAGCTTTAAAACTGGCGTTTAGCCTGCAGCAGAATATATTATATAGGCTAATTTATTTATTTAGCTCTAGTTCTAAATACATCTTACATTCGTTTTCTATGCCAACTATGAACATTACAACATAATAGTTTCCATAGAGTTTCATCCATTCCACTTGCATAAAATTATGTATGTTCCAGGTAAATTCGTCTAAAGCAGTGTTGAATAACGAGATGACACTAAGTTATAGACTTACGAATCCTGATCCCTCTCTGCACGGCCATCGTACTACTGTTCTTAGAAATAGTCATATTGCAGTTGACTTAGCGATTCCTGGCCCATCAAGTCAGGTACTGTTATTACAAAATGAAACAACTATTTCAGCTTTAGATGTTCTATAATTTTATTGGGTAGTTTCTGGTCATCATTTCATTCGCGCATTAATAGCCAGATTTTTCCGATTTCCATAGAAATCTGGGAAAACATCTTATTGCTCCCAAACATTTCCCAAAGAAAATCACATGTCATATAACAGCTTTCTACGATCAGTAGTTTCGGCTGTGCGTTGTCTATTAGTCATTTGAACATGAGTAAAGGAAGAGTTTTTTTTACATGGTGTACATTTTGTTTGTAGCCTTGTGGATCTGAGGAAGGACCTAGTGATCCACCACGCGACTCTGGACCCAGCGATGGCAACCACTCTAGTGTGTCGTCTGAAGGCAAGTATTTGTTGTGCTTTGTAGAAATACCATTGCAAAAAAACCCAAACATGTGGAATTAAATAAAGAGTTGGAGTAAAGATATATAATTAATGCTAAGAATGAAGTAAGAATCCCTGTGTCCATTTTGTTTAGCAAAGCAGTACAGTATGCTGAGCCTATACTAATGCAACAAATCTAATGACAACCATTTTTGATGTACTGTAAAGGTTTCTGTGAGAACGAAGAGGAAATCCTACAGCAGAGTGGTGGTGACACAGACTCTCAGGAGTCAAGTTCTCCCCCCATATCGTCCGATGACGCTCAACGTCGCGTTTCTAACGATGAGTCAGTGTCCGATGATGACTGTAACTTGTACTTCTACGACACTGCTGCTGCCAGGAGGGCAGTTGCCGACGAGGGAACTAGCTCAGGAACCGTTGTTGTAAGTTATCAGATGTTAGCAAAGTCGGTATTTAAGAGGTAATACCATCTCGGGGACTAACGTGTTTGTGTTACAGTCGGTGGGTGCGAGCAGTTCTTGCGGCATGGGCTGGGCGTGCGGGTGGGAGGGGTCATTCGCCCGCGCCGAGGGCCTGCACGCGCACGGGCACGCGCGCGATGCCTGCGCCCTGGGCGCGCGCCTGGCGCGGGAGCTGCTGGCGCGGCCGCCGGCGCTGGGCGGCGCCAACATGCTGCCGTCGCTGGACCCGAAGAAGCCGCGGCGGCGCCACACGCCGAGCCCTCGCCTGTGCGCCGCCAGCCACCGCCTGTCGTGCCTGGCCTCGGCCACTCTGGCCAAGTGCGCCTTCCTCTGCACGGTAAGTACCCTGACTCGTGCTCTCTCCGTGACGTAGCGCCGCCGGACCGCGCCGCTGGAAGATACTCCCGCCCCTAGACTGCACCGCCTTGCATCGCCTCTTGTGTGTGTCGTCCACCACGCTCGCAAATTGCACATTGGTCGGCGTAAGTACGTAACGATTGTTTTGTCTTTCCTAAAACTTGTACCGGTTTAGACGTTGGCGCGGCCGGTCCCGCTGGGCGGCGTGCAGCGCGGGCAGTATGACCCGAGACGGCCGAGACTTCGGTTTACGTTCAGCCCTAGACTGGCTACGCATCGCCTCTTATGTTTTACTTCCGCGACACTCTCAAAGTGCGCCTTCCTCGGCACTGTGAGTACATTTCAGGGGGACGAATTTTTCTCAGAAAAATCCTTTGTGCCGGCTGTATAACTTTGGTTTTACCGATTTAACAGGGTTATCATTTTAGTTTCAGTGTTCAACGAATCTAAAGTATGTTATAGGTACAGCTCAAAACCATTTCGAATGTAAAAGGTAGATATATCCTACTAAAACAATCCTTTAAAAAACCAATCGCCAGCCGATAACTGCTTGCTAGCAAAGTGATAAGTTTATCATTTAAAGTGAATACAGTTGCATTCACTTTAAATATACAAGGCGGTGTACGACTCACGACTACGAAGTATTTAAAGTGCAAAAACAGAAACAAGAACCTAAATTCGCTCCCCCGTATCGGGCCAATAACAATTTCAATTTCAAGAGTAGCGTGAAGTTTAGTTACGTGCCATTATATAGTTAGTGCGTTAGTTAAAGAATACTACTAACGCCAGAATCCTGAAAGGGTATTAAATTTTAAATTGTACGACGGTAATAATATCATACAGTATTGCAACTTCATACAAACGAAACGCGAGTTATACCTACGCGCCTCGATGTCGGGCTGCGCTTACCGCAGTCAACAACGGACGGTTCTTTTTCTTTTATTTTTTTTAATTTTTTTATGGGGGGATATTCATCGAATGACTTCTCCCGCCTGGCTGAGGCGGGAGGGAGTGTCAGACTCTTACTGACTAAAAACCACCCCGTTCCTACTCCTGCGGTAACCCGTTAGGTTCTCTGCGGCATTGTTTTTAGATATAAGTGTGCTATTTGACGCGAAAATATGATGACGTCATAAGATGGTTTTTCGTATAAAATTCACAGAACGTTTTTGGCGTTTCGATAAAAGTTTTGAATTTGACTAGTTGCCAACTAACGTGTACTGTATGATAATATTACCATGATTGTACTTTAATATCGTGTCATTTTGGCATGTCATTTTACAAAGAATTTATAGTGAAAGAACGATACTTAAGCGTGACTTAAAATTGAGTGACGTTTGTATATTTGGACATAATGTAACTAAAATGTCGGTCGGTACCAAATGTGAAATATGAGTTTTAGTTTCTCTCTCCCACAGCTTAAAACTGGTGTGATATACAAAAAAAATGCTATTTAAGATAATTAAGATTTACATTTCAATTTGATAGGTATTAGCAGAATTCAGCGAACACCACGAACTTGCCTTCCGGGTAGGTCTGTTTGCACTTGAAATGGCTCGACCTCCGGCGAGTACAAAGGCTTTGGAAGTAAAACTAAATAACCAAGAAACGGAGTTGGTGTCTCTACTGAAGAAACTTCCCACTGGCGCCGAACAATTGGCTTTAGCTCGAGAGAAAGCCGAGCAACTGCGCGACGGTACGCTAAGGTAAGTGGAACTTCATGCTACGAAATAAAGTTAAATAACACATATGATAATGAATCAAATTACCTTTAAGTAATAAGATCATTGAAATTTCGTAGGAACCGCGGACCAGCACTGCTGCCAATAGCGTTAGCGAGCTTCCTATTCGATGTGTTGGTTTTATCTGCTACTGATAAAGAGAATAAACATCCTGTAAGTGAACGATACAAATTAATTATTCACATATGTGTAGACCTACTGATATATACAATAATGTTATAATTCTTTTCATCAGGCCAGGTCGCCAAATGATGAAACACTAGGCTTCGAAGCTGCTGTTGCAGCTTTAGGCCTAAAAGCCAATGTATCCGAAGCAGATCATCCTCTACTATGTGAGGGAACGAGAAGACAGCGTGGAGAGTTGTCTTTGACGCTTTTGTCTTTCTACAAAGATGATCCTGTCAAACTTGCTAGGATTATGAACAAAGTATGTATGAAAGCTGTTTGTTATCTCTTTCTGAAAAGTTTCAATAAAATTTGTTAGAAAGTGTCTCGAAGACTCCCGGTAATGTTAAATTTTCTTGTATCGTCGTGTGTGTAGTTGCTGGACCGCGAGATCCACCAGTTGACGAAGAGTCCGATGGTGAGCCTGTACTACATGAACAACCCGCGCCTGGCCGCCTACCGCGCGGACGTCGCGCCGCACCCCGCCTTCGCACCGCTCCCAGCGCACGCGCCCAATACTCTGCCACCTCAGGTAACATACTTGTCCTGTACGCCAGTGATCTATTGTCAAAAACTGGTTTTGTAAGTTTTATTAATCCAGACAGGTGCCGAGAATAAACTTCAGCTGGTAAAGTTTTCGCTATTTAATTAGAGCGATACGTTTCTGCTTCACACCGATTGAAGATAGACGATGCAACACAACCTAATAATAAAACAGATGCACCGTATTATAATGTTCTCGTGTCTGTATTAGTTGTGATCGTTAAGAGTGAATTTCTAATTCTGTGATTGTCCTAGTAAACGCTTATGCTAATGTGTGTTACAAAATGAATCCTGCTTAACTAATGTGAAGTGGCGTCTGTAGAGAGGCACGCATTTAGCAACGTATGACTGGCGTGTGCAGGCGGTGTGCCTGAGCGCGGAGTTGGAGCGGCTGGTGGTGACGGAGGACGGGACGTCGCCTCCCGCGCACTCGTCGCTCGCGTCCCATGCGTCTCATGCGTCCCATGCGTCGCACGCGTCTCACGCGTCGCACGCGTCTCATGCGTCGCACGTGTCACATGCGTCTCACGCGTCACACGTGTCACACGTGTCGCATGCGTCTCACGCGTCGCACGTGTCGCACGCGTCCCACGCGTCCCACGTGTCGCATGCGTCGCACGCCTCGCACGCGTCCCACGCGTCGCATGCGTCCCACGCGTCGCACGCATCGCACGCGTCTCATACGCCGCATCCTGTGCCCCACGCTTCTTCCACGCACACGCCTATCTCCAGGGCCAAGGATTCCAGGTTAATATTGTTTTGTGTTACCAATAAACTCATTTTTACTATATTTGGCGTGTAAAACGTACTGTTTGTGTTTTTAGATATAAAGGCAAGCGCCAGTACCCTTCGGTGCCCAACCAGCCATCCGAAGCATCCGCGCACTTTATGTTCGAGTTGGCTAAGTCCGTACTGTTCAAAGCTGGTGGGTCATCCAGCACTAGTCTGTTCACACAACCCTCGTGTGCGAGGGAGCACCATGGACCTCACAGGTATAGACATCGGCCAAAAATGCATAAAACTATGCAAGAAATGAACAATTCTGAAAATAAATAACTTCAAATAGCACTTTAAGTGGGACTAAGACGGTACGTTTTATTTTACAGAGGTTTACACATGGCCGCTTTTCAGTTGGGGCTGTACGCCCTCGGCCTACATAACTGTGTGAGTGCGAACTGGCTCAGTCGCACTTATTCATCTCACGTTAGTTGGATTACAGGCAAGTACATTTCTTGGAATAGATGTTTAGAAATAATGATGATTTGGTTTTAATTCCATTTTTTGTTGTAGGTCAAGCGATGGATATTGGCGCACCTGCTATTTTATTCCTGATTGACGCATGGGAAGGACATTTAACCCCGCCTGAAGCTGCTAGTATCGCTGATAAAGTAAGCATATATTTTGCAGCATTATAATAGTTTTAACATATTGTTGTCTGGGTGTCATGTGTATGTGAACTTGTATGTTTGTACACGCGCCCACGACACAGGAGAAAATCCTACTGTGTCGCACGCGTCCCAAGCGTCGCATGTGTCCAATTCTTTAAATTATGTTACGTCATACATGCTGATGTCCTTATGTTTTCTAATGAAATATTTATCTTGTGTCTCTTAGGCGTCTTCAGGCCGCGACGTGCCTACAGTCCGCGCGGCGGCAGAGCTGGCCCTGTCGGTGCTGCCTCACGCGCATGCGCTCAACTACAACGAGATACAGCGCGCCGTATTGCAATGCAAGGAACAAAGCGATTCCATGCTCGAGAGGGCTTGTCTTACTGTTGAAGCTGCCGCTAAAGGTACCAAGATAGTAGAAGAAAGAAAACGCCTTTGAGTTTTATTAGTTGTTGTATATATTTAACTTCCCTCTTATTTGAAGTCCAATAAAATTTATTGAGATTATTCAGGTGTTCAACTACTTTCGAGCTACACAAAGGCTTATAATTTGTTAAAAGTGACCACGTAGTTTTAACTAAACTTTTATTGGTATTTTAATACATTTTTGTGTTGCAGGCGGTGGCGTGTATCCCGAGGTATTGTATACAGTGGCCCGCTACTGGCACGAGCTCTATCTCCGACAGGCCAACGAGGAGACCGAGCCATTACTCGACGAGCCACAGTACCGCGCCCAGCCACCGCCCCTCGCCGTACCAGTACCCTATCCCATTCCCTACCCATTCACGTACCATCCATACCCGCCTACCATTTACCAGCTTCCGGTAAGAAGACATCTAAATCTTTAGTAAATTTTAGTAATATCGCAGAGAACAAAATTTCATGGTATTTTTTGATTTTCAGTACGCAGGCACAGGTCCTCCACATCCTCCGCCGCAGTACGCGTTGCCGCCGTACTTTGTCCGTGGTATAGTTGCGCCGGCCGCCGCGCCCGCGCTCGCGCAGCACCCGCAGCACCAGCAGCACGCGACGCTCCCGCAACACGCGCAGCTCCCGCAGCACGCGCAGCATCAACCGCTACAGCAGCACGCGCAGCACGCGCCGCTACAGCAACACCCCCCGCACCAAGCGCTGCAGCAACACCAGCCGCTGCAGGCACACCAACCACTGCAACCACACCAGCCGCTGCAACAACATCAACCGTTACAGCAACACCCGCCACTACAGACACTATCGCAACCGCTGCAACAACACCCACAGCCGTTGCAGCAACATCCACAGCCGTTGCAACAGCTTCCACAGACGTTGCAGCAACACCCACAGCCGCTGCAGCAACACCCGCAACCGCTGCAGCAACACCCGCAACCGCTGCAGCAGCATCCGCAACCGATACCACATCCACAACCGATGCAACACCAGCCGATGCAGCATCCGGCCCTCGCCCAGCACCCACCGATGGCGCAACATGTTACACATGCCACACAGATACCACAAACTATAACTGTCAACGCTACTGTTCATCAAGTCGTAAGTATCTCCGATCTTCTTACTCTACTTTTCAAAATTATTTTATTTACTTTTACATTCATGTATATCAAGGTTTGATTAAAATCTTTTTACATGTTCTGAATAATAAAACTGTTATAAATCATAAACTTCTACTTGTACACAAATATGTCTACCTAAAATAACTAAATTGATAACTATTCGCCACCAGCACCCAGCACCAATCCCGCCGCCGCTACCAGGCCCGCAGCAGATGGTGCCAGTGGCGGGTGTGTCGGGCAGCGCAGTGAGCGTGGCCAGTGTGGGTGGTGTAGGCGGCGTGGGCGGCGTGGGCGGCGTGGGCGGCGTGGCGGGCGTGAGCGCGGCCGCGCAGGCCGGCGCGCAGCCCGCCGCGCCCAACGTCAACCAGACGCAGCTGCGGCGGCTGCTCGCTGCCTACCGCGTCGGAATGTTGGCGTTGGAGACGCAAGCACGGCGCGTACATGATGATCGTCCACAAAATAAGTTTGGCAGGTAAGGCTCAGCTTCAGCTTTAGTGTCTACTGCTCATTTTTCCAGCGTAATGTCATAAATGATATTTTTTAACTACTGAAGTATCTAAAAATAATTATTATAGTCTTTAATTTATTTCGTTTTAAATATGAAATTGTGATGAAGAAGTTATCAATGTGATTTCGTATAAAATTCGTAATATGTATTGGAAATTTCGAAAAATACTCTTTTTTTCCTGAAATTTATAACATTCAAGAGTTTACTCAAAATGTGATTGCTGAGAAATACAAAGATTCCTGAGTAATTTTATAACAATATTTACTTGCGTAGGAACCCGCCGTACGGCGAGCACGTGAAGTGGTTGCTGCGTATATCGAAGCGTCTGGGCGCGCAGTACCTGCACCAGTTCTGCGTGTGCGCGGTGAACTCGGTGGTGTCGCCCTTCGTGCTGTACGAGCTGTGCGTGGAGTCGGCGCACTGGCTGGCGCGCGGCGGCCCGCACCACCTCGTCATGCAGCACCTGCGCGGCACGCTCGCGCCGCTCGTGCAGAAGTGCCAGCAAATGTACGGATACTTCTCTATTTTATTATTTTTGTTATTTATTTTTAAATCACACAGGTAAGTATGTTATGATTTAATCCCCACAAAACCATTGCAATGGTTTGACTGTAGGGTCGAGTCACTAGGCATTACAATAAAATGTACTTATGAATATTAACAGGAAACTTATATAGAATTAGACATTTTTAAAATGCACACTTTGTTTTAATAGGTTATAGATTGCATCGTGATCTGTACTAGAAAACTTAAAGAACGCACTACATACATTTAACCAAACTACTCGAATTTTGGTTAAATGTATGTAGTGCGCCTTTGCCCAAGGACTTATAATCAGGCTTTAGCTTAAGGAGTCAGATAAAACGTTACTATTTTTAACAATCCTTCCATAAAACCTGTCAGACGCCAATTATATTCTTCAGTTCAGAATTGTTTGGTGATTGAAAAATTAACCCTAAATGTAACTTATATAAATAATAAGTTCGATAATTCTCAGTAGAAATACAGACCGAGATGTTGCCCGGTGTATGGTAAAATGTAAACATTGGATGAAATATATGTGCACCTCCAGTCCTCCACTTATTATTTCGGAGAATAAGAGCCGTCTCAAAAACATCACTATAATCAAGATATACCTACTATAAAGTTTTATTTCCAACAGGTACATTCAATGCATCCATCAAAAGCTATACCACCTAACTACAGTGGAATATGAAGAGTTCGTGAGCATCGTATTGTCGGCCCGCACCGCCTTCCAGCTCACGCCTGAAGGAAACACTCAGTTCAAGGAGTGGCTCGCTTCACTGCGCAGGTCTGTAACATATCATCGCTATGTAAACACACATACACTAACATCCCAAAAATATTGCTTAAATTAATATTGAATATATCGAGATTCTAGGAGTTAACACTATTATGTTTATCGCTATAGTAATTTTCATCCAGGCTTCTCATCAGCCAGATATAATTTCAGAACCAAAACAATATAAATTATATCCAATTAGTAGTTCCCTTTTTTTCGTTACACTCGACAACGCTAACCCGTCTCTATAAGTCTATTTTAAAGACTTGCATGTGATGGTAAGCAGCTTAAACCTATATTTTTTTTACTCCCAGATAAGTGTGGAAGTTAACTCACCTCCATCAGATTGTGAACTGACATTACTTAAAAGTGTGAGTACTTCTGTACTCGTACACACAAAATATTGCATGGTCGTGCGCCGTCTGCTGGCTGGCTACGATAGATCGACACGAATTATAAGGACGTTACTGTTGCTTCATGTGCCCAAAATGTGTATAATATTTCAAACATAACGAACCGTAGTGAGTTGTTTACTGGTAGTACAGACAACAGTATTTGAATGTATGCATCAATGTTTGCTATATTCCTATGAATGAAAAAAAGTTTTAATTTGCAGGACATTTTATTTATTTATATGTTGGAGAAGTTATTTTTAAAATGTAATGTTTTAAGTATTTTCCGGCAGCAAATGCCTATATACTTAATATTTCGCATTCTTCCAACTGCTTGCGTTATGATTGTGGCATTTATCTGTCGAATTCACTATCTGTTGAGTCCTTAACAAGGTTAGTGTTTTGTTGTAATGGATGTATACTGGCTGTTAATGTTGATGAGGAATGCATGGATGTAAGAAATTAATTTGTTAAATGGTAATATTACGTTACCTTCAAGTGTCGACGCTTATTAGTTTTGGATATCCCTTAATGTTCTTTTTAATCCGTATAAGAAGAACACACTATGATAACATTGAAGAAATAAAGGGTGTAATGTTCACTTGCAGGTCAAAATCGTGCAAGAAAGATCTGTGGACGCAGCTGAACGCAGCTCTGCAGACAAATGGCAAATGACGTCGGCAGCCGATAGTTTGTAGAGTGCGGTGTACCGCGCGCAAACTGTCACAACACAGGCGATGGCCGCGTTATCGGCTCGTATACCATCTACAGAATAATATTTAACTATATTATATATTGTGTTATTTGTAATTTGAGTTCTTGTTTACTACGAAAATGATTCTATCAGTACTGAATGATTGATGTATTGTTAATACACTTTACACGATTGAGAGGTTATAATATACTTTAAGCTAGTAACTAGTAATTGGGACTTGAAATATTTCTAATCGTTGATGAAAATTATAAGTGATGTGAAAATACTTATAATAAATCTGAAATAGTAATTCGTAAATATAATCGGGACATGAAAATCAAAAGATGTCGTGCATGTAAACTTAAATTACAAATAATATAATTCCGACTTGAGAAGATATAACCTCTGTTAGTAATAGTAACACTCGACTTTGAGGGTAATCGATCTCAGTGTAAACACATACGGAAAGTATCGGTGATCACATGAAATGTTGCTAACTCCTAATATATGTTCAGCATTTTTGCACATTCATACATTTCTTTGTATAATCGTTTCAAGGCATTCATGAAACCGTTTTTGTGTCAGAGAACAGAATGAACATTCATAATCATAACTTCATTGTTATTTGAATTCACGTTACTAACATGAGAGAAACATTCAAGCTCATTTGAAGGTTGTGCTTAAATAGTCTGAGATTTGGTTGTTATCGGAGTTTATTGTAAGAGGAGTTCATGTTTGCACCATTGCTACTTGGGGAGTTTAGCAACATTTAACTTGTTTTTCTTAGATTGTGCAGTGTGACTTCTTATAAATGATGTTAACCACTTCCATCTTCTAAATTGCTTATTTTGTAAGACTGCACAAAATCACCTTGAATTCCCTTTTGTTTTTCCGTGGATTTTTAATAATCTTGACACACTTGAACTAGTCAGTGGTTTTGAAGATCCGTATTTGGTGACCCAATGGAACTTCTCAACTGTAGCTCATTTAGTTTTCTTTTTTTCTTTGATTAGCTTAATGTAAGACATAAGTTGGATTTTAATGTCTTTTTACGTATGAGGTTTTAGAACCTTTTGACTGCATTCGCGTAAAAGGTATTAAATGATAACGAAATCATGGAGAATGTTAATCAGGATCGGAACTTATATCCAATATTGGAGTTTTAAGTCGACATGTTTCAGTTGTGGTTAGCATTTTGCTGCTTTTAGTTAATTCTAATTGCTAGGTGGGCATCTGATGATATAAGAAGAATTAACTATGTTTAGAGAAATAATAATGAATTGCGATGCTTATTTTCATGCTAACCTTCTATAGAAGCCATTAGTGGTAGAGCTAATTCAGCAGTTAGTTTAATATGCATAAGTGTAAAGGAATTCAAATTATATAACAGGACTTGATCAAATAAATGGTGTGGACATTTAAAAAGTCATAAGACGTAGAAATTTGGGCGTTAATTACTTAATGAAATCAGTGTCCACTTAGCGGTTTTGTCGTGAAGATCTCTATCATTTTGTAAGCTATTAGAAAATAGTACGTCACTCATTTATTGTATGCGTTTCATCTTTTTTTTAGTGTAATGCGAGTTTTCATTATGTCATTTGGAAGATTAGGATCGCGATGCGCTATTATTATTTATACTTTTTGTTTTATTTTTAGCAGGAATTGTGCTAATTGATTTTTGGTTGGGTTAACGTCAAGTACGCAACGTTACATTCGCCAATACTGACTGCTATAACTTATAAACGACTACAAGATATATTATATGTTTATTAAATCAAGACTTTTAATTGTAGTTGATTTATAAGTTATTTTTGTGAATGTAACTTAAGTATTGCGACGAAAATACGGAAATTCAAAATTGTAACCATAGTCCATATAACATGAATTGGCTTAAGATGTTTCAAGTGACCTAAATAGCGTCATTAGACTACAGATTATTAGACAGAATGTAGGCGATGACCGTCGATACACTATTTTTGATATTCTCTTGTCGAAATTTGCAGTTTCATGATGTTTAATGTAATAACGTCTCGCGGAGATATGTAGACGTGCGTTCTATTAACTATAGTGACTTTATTTACACGTTTTTATTATAATACATATTATATATAAAATATATGGTAATGCGTAGTAGCGTTGAGAGCCTCTGAAATATATTTAAATAATAATGTGTATGAAGCATGTGCTGGCAACAAATTAATACCGCAACAATATCTTGTCGAAGATAATGAAGATGATAAAATTGTTCAAATTTTTTCATCTGCTAAATAACAATTGTTAGCTTCAACATCTTCGCTTTAACTACATTCGAGAGGGTTAAAGTTACTGAATTTAACACAATTGACACGCTGAACATAAGAATTTTATAGAATAAGTCAGACGGTAATATATTGTGTATATTATATTAAACGTAAAGTGCTAGAAAGTCTCCTAACATGAAAGCAATACTGAAATATCATTTTATAATAAATATTACGAGATTTAGAAATATGTATGTCTATTCGCAAGGTTAATATTGTAATTGATGTGGTACATTAAGTATAAATGAAAGTTGTGCATGTTTAGTAAAAACGATTAACTTGCCGATAGTTTGCGTGTTCGTGTCTTTTTGAATATCGTTATACGCTAGTATAAATTGCTCAATCAAGTAAACAAGTGAATGTTCAGAGAGTAAACCGTATCAGCGGGCTTTGGTTGTGCTCTACTTCAAAGATACGGGAAATATTAATTAAGAGGTCGGAGTCGAACCGTCGAACAGCTGTCGCTGCCTTTTAAAAGTTTGCAATACAATTTGTTTGGACACTCAATGATAAATACATAGATACATAAATGAGACATTTGAACAATCAGCTTGAGCAAATTAGTACTATTTGCCCCGGAATGGACATGTATCATGATGTAATATTATCTAAAGTACGATCTCTTTTCTTGCAAACTTCAAAGAGGTTTATGAACTCCTGTGCATATTCTAGATTGAAGGAAAGTCTGACTATGGAATGAAATTTGTTGCCAGCCTAAGCATCAAGTAGTTTTAGTTCAATATCTTTATAAAATTAGATGTTTATGTGCATTCATTAAGTGTGAATGTTTCAGCATTCAGTAGATAGTAAATTTTAGAATGCTAGTTAGTTTAAATTGAAGGACGTTACAATCAGATCAAAGTTAAGGTTTACTATTTTAAGTGACTTCAAAAAATATGTTCAGAATTTTAATCAGGAAAATGGTTGTATGGTATTTCCTAAATAGACTATTTGATTGTTCGATATTCATATTCAGAACTATCCTCTGCACAAAAGTTTTGCTGTTACCAACTCGTTAATAATGCACTTTGAGTTTTCGTTTTTTTGCGTGTTTGTTAGGGAATAGCATTTCGTAGCGTTTTTTTTGATTAGGTTTATGTTAGGTACGTATATAGATTATAAGGAATATACTGTAAAGATACGAATGCTTTAACATCATTAAAGAAAAGTGGTTTCAAAGCAGTCTTCTTTTTATCAGAAAGTAAATTGCATGATTATGTTATTGGACGAGTATCTTTGCAGTATCTCTCTCTATCGCGTCCAATTTTGTCTACTCAATTCACATTATTTTATTAAATTTTATTTATTTTTACTACCTCGTTAATCAGACTTAAAAATTAGAAAGAGTTTATCCTACGTCATTAGGTTATAAAACGTGCATGTGGACTTCTCAGTAGATTGCAGAATCAATGTTTTATTTCCTTCTACTTCTGACTATTTCTAACTTTCTTTCTACATATTTCTTGCTATTTCCATAATAAAAATACAGTTAAAAATATATCTTTATAAAATCTTGATGTGTTTAATTTTCACATCACGTAATACTGTTCTTTCAACACATACACAGGATTAATGAAGTAGGTAACTTTTGGGGAGACATTAATGGTCATTATTTGCCGTCCATATTTTTTTTGCAGAACTATACTTTTTTCAAGTTAGTTGAAGCATATTAATTTGAGTTTTAATTTTTCAAGTTAATTTAAGTTGAAGCACATTTCAATACCAATACGCTCGTCGGGCATTATTAACATTTTCTGGTATAATTTAGTTTACTATTTTGTTTTTCGCAATGGTCTTTAAAGCGCTTCGACATTTTTGTCTATAAAACTATTTTTACACGATAAAGCGTATTTAAATTGACAAAAAAAGATTAAATATATCGTTAGTTTCGTAAATATAGAATGTTAGTACGGAGCATATTTTAATTAGTCGTTTAATGCATGTTCATATAGATTTAATTCGCCCAGAGTCAGGCAAGTGTGCGAGGTGTTCCATAGGTGTTGCGGTATCCCATTGATTTGCAGTTATCGGTATCACATATCAGATCGACTTCTTGTCGGGAGATTATTCAAACAAGCATAATTTAATGACAATCACAATTAATTAAATTATTATATTTCTAGCGTTGAATGTTGAATTTACTTATTAAGTCAGTGGCATAATGGAATGTGGATTAGACATACATTACAATAATTGTAAAATAAATTGATGCGCAAGTATGCGATACTTGTATTATTTAATTATTAATCAGACTATGAAGAAGTAAAACCGAGTACATAATTATATTTATAAATATTATACTCTTATTTAGTTACATATGCATACAATAAAACCGTATGTCTTTTCCACAATGATTGGTCTACATTATTAGAGTGGTAGGGCACAGCTATTGAACATATTAGTTAGTTCAGGATCGTGGGCAATATGGGTCATTAGCTGCAACAGTTGTACTGAGTTTTGTTCTTTAATACTCATGGCAATGTATGCATGTCGAACTACGTCACATCACAAGTCAGTTTAGAATTATTGAGGATATCAGTCTAGCAAGTTTGTTTAGTTCTACATCGAAGATGCATAATTATTTTATACATCTGGATTTGTAGTTTAATTATATTGCACTTTGTAAGTGTGGTGTCTCCGCCTATTAAAGTATTTAACCATTTACAGAGTTCGAATGGCTACTTATTAGTGTACGTAATAAATTTATATAATGATGATATTTTATTGTGCATAAAGTATATTTGAAAGTGTAGTTGCAAAACAAAGATGTCCAGTTTGCCATTATCGGGTTGAAAGTACTTACTCAAATAATTTTAATTATTACGCAGTTGGAAGTTATATTCGATATTGCGTTTATAATTTGCAGTGGCATGTGACGCGCATAATAAGAATATAATAAAGTCGTACGTAGCAATTTGGGAATGACATTTATTGTTTTGTGTACACTTTTCAAGTCTTATACTACGAGCAACAGTGTAGAGCGTCCAGCTCTCAAGATAATAATATCCTTGTTAAATATTGTTCAACTCATATACATTATAGCATTCTTTGCGTAAATCTCAAACGAACTGTTTATTTTTTTGTGCCACGATCGTTTCAAAAACTGTCCGCCATGTTTACCTGCAGGACGAAAGACTGACAAGAACATTGAAATAGTCGAAAGTGGAGACTTTAAGATAAACCAGGATGTCTGGGAATGATACTATTATAGCGTACGTTTTATCAGGTTAATATTTTCCTTAGACATTTTTTTGTGAGCGAATTGTTTTCAGACATCCTGTATAATTATAGAAAGTGCCCATACATATAGTATTTATTAAATATAGCACTAGACATTTTGCTCCGTTGTCGCAAATGGTTGTAATTATAAAGATATAGTTAATATTAATTAGTAAAATGATAGACTGTTTTGCACGACTTCTGGTTTGACCGTGTCAACTCTTCTTCCTCACGTTGTCTCTTTACATGCAAACAACTACCTGAACACTTTGTGATGACAAGTCTTTCTCTGAAGTTTGTCGGTTGCATGTCAACCTACAACGTTTTCAATTTTCGGTACATTAAACCTACTTGCATCCCACATAAAAATGTGTTTCAACTCAATCTCGAAATATTTTGACCTCTTAACGTTTTATTATTACTTTTACGATTACACTAAGTCTTTTTTGGCAACATATTTGAAGTAATATTATTTAATTATTCAATATACTTATCTATATTAAGACTTGTTTGTTTTATTTATACTATAATCTACCTCTATTCCTATAAGCAATTTTCTACAATAACACTGTTGCATAACGATTGAATTTAATTTGAATTATCAAATGCTCTGGATTGATTTCGATTTCAAAGAAACTCCATACAACTAATAATAAAACATCGATCTTATGTGGAAATACTCAATACTCAATGTTAAAGTCGTGCTGAGGTATAGTTCTGTCACTACAATTTTTTTGTAAAATGACAGAGCTGGACCGATATTAAATTTAATATTTGAGTACCCTTTCAGCATTCGGACATTAATCTAAAGATTTTGAACGGAGATTAACTGGCCGGTTAGATCGGTCAATAATTTCGGCTGTAAATCGTTACAAGGCAGTCAAAGCAACCGATCAAAGTGATCAATATTAATATTAAATTAACAAAAATATTACTTGAACTGCTTTGTGAATCAAACAGTCACTGTATGTAAAAGTATAAAATACGAGGCACCTCATGACCTCACGGTTCTATCATGAACCTCTGAACAGGCCGCCTATGCGCATTTTAATTTAAGTGACTTTTAGATTAAATTCTCAGTGTGGAGTGGTATTTATCCCAGGATTTTGAGGTCAATGTGATGGGCCTCGATGGTGGCGAAGGTAAGACTGCTTTTATATTCTGTAATTTGAACTCTTTAACTCCTGAATGAAGTCAGTCTAATCACCGGAGCATATTCTCAGAATAAGTTTTAGAAGAAACATGGTACGCATTAGACACATTATTTTTTATCATCATCGTCAGATTATCAGTTAGGTACTGGACATAAGTACCTACCTGTTTTCCGTAGCAACTGTCTTACCTAGTTTTGAATTAACCGTATTTTATTTCCGTAAATTAGATTTTATTCTTATCTATGTAATTCTTTGTAAGTTGATATGTATATCTATCAAGATCGCTATAAGCCCAAGCAAACCCAATTGATTAAAAGACACACCAGTCAGCTGTGATTTAGATTAGATAGATACTTATAACACAAGGCTGTACTGTTGTAACCTAAGGTACTAGGTACCAATAAATTGATCGAACAACCTTGCGTGACAAAGATTTTTATCGCTTACCAACTTAAATAAATAAATAATTAGCATACAAATTCTTATTATACCTATACGTATTGATATCTCTTAGTAGTCTACGTCATGACGTACGACGATATCGTTCGCAGATGAACCGTAAATGCAAAAATATTTTTTTTGACCTTTTCTTGCATGTTTTTTTTTCTAATTTATCACTTTGGATAGTGTGCGTAGATAATGTTTTCTTAGCATATAAGTGAATAGAAACATTACAGTCGCAACTCGCAATCGTAGCTTGTAAGGTAGGGCACCGATAAGACCGCCTCGCGGCGCTGACGGCACTGCGGGCACTGGAGCGCATGGCATTCACAGCGGGAAGCGTGATTCACACGTGCGCGAATTGACAACATAGATCACGACTTTTTATCCTTATCTTTCTACGAGTACTACTTACGTATGTACTACATAATGTAAACATTGATTGCTAAATCTAATATTATAGCGGACACTGTTTACAGAAAATAAGTTCATTGATTTCTTACATAATTTATTGACAGCGATAACTTGTTTTTTTATTCTATTTTAAAAAGCGAGCCCTCTTACACGTGGTTAGGAGATAAAAATAGTAAGAAATTTTCCGGTGGGTCACTTATGGATTTATCAGTGTGTTTTCTGTTATTGCTGGGGTAACAATCAATTATATATTAGAGTTAACTATATAAGTAGGTGTGTGACTAGGAGGTACCTACTTTGGAAAATAACATATAACGCAGATAGATACGGTAATTAATTATATTATGGTCTATTTATACCGAGATTATGTGTATTAGGTATTTGTCATTTTACTATCAATCTGCAATGTGCTATCTTCATGCAATGTTTTTCCGGTACGATAAGCGCATCGAGGTACTTAATTAAGCAATGAATGTTGTGGTGCATCTCCTGAATAATACTAATATTGACATTAACTACGTAATTTAAGATTAATATTTCTTTTTTATACACCTAACACTATGTACATTTTGCAAAACTGAAGTATAAAATTAGTAAACGTACACTCACAATTACATTGCAAAATTAAATATATCGAGTAAGAATAATTATCCTGATTTTGGTATTTCCTATCTACCACAAATCTACCAAAATTACCTACTTATCAAATATGTATTTGTCATTTGGGAAATGTAATTTATTTTAAAATAATTAGGTATCTTAGCTAATCATGATTTATAAAACACTGTGTGACACTGTAATGTAAAAGATAAGTACAGATCTAGGTATACTTAAATAGTTCTCACAGTGTTATACATGTTAATGTATAAATTGGGTAAATAATGTGGGATATTGACATCACTAAACTAACTAACTACTAAAGTTATAAAACAAAGTCGCTATCTGCTCTCTGCCTGTATGTATGCTTAGATCTTTAAAACAACGCAACCGATATCGATGCGTTTTTTTTAAATAGATAGATTGATTCTTAAGGAAGGTTTACCTATATGTATAATACCTACATGCATAATATAATAGAGAAATACTGATAAATTTAAAGGTATCTAATGTGATGTCGTAAATTACATAAGCATTGCACCCGTGCGAACCCGGGGCAGGTCGCTAGTACCTCCTAGATTTAATAAAGATGTTCTTAATATTTCTTTGGAACATCCCATCTTTTCCTAGTCATATATTTGTTATCAGTGTCGTTACACATAATACCTATGTATAATAATCTTTTTGGAAAGAGGGCTCGTGTCTACTTAACCTGAGTAAACATATGAAGGTACATACATAATTATAAAAGTACAAATAGAAGGTTGGTGTAAGCAAAGTAATAGATCTGATAAGTATCATAAAACAGAAAGTAACGTGTTTGTTATCTAATGATGCTATTATTGGACATGTTCATAAAGTAATAAGTAATTAGTAAATACTCTGACGTATTTAACTAGCTCATTTGTGGTTGTTATTAATTATACATTTACCAGTATAATATTTGACGTATTATTTACTGATTGTTCTACATAATTAGGTATTTTGTACCCATTAGTCCTTGTAAACCTATCTACAAATAATAAGTAGGTAAGTATTTAATTTGCATAACTGCAGAAAATATAAAAAAAAATGATTCTTTTTCGACTTTTATTATCGAAAGCAGTATGGTAGTATGTATCTATACATTCGTAGAATGATCAGCATGTAACAAAGTCTTTTTGTATGGGATATTATAGGTATTGGGCAAACGAGCTACATCGCCCATTGACACTCGCAACCACAAACTAGTTACATGTACTTACGCCCTTTTCAAATGATTAGTATGAGCTAAACGAAACAAAAAAAATTACGTCTTTATCTATCTACCTATAGGTTACAATAATTAGGTCAGTACCTACTATATTTATGTAGATACTTGTTTGTGTTTGCGACTTGCAATACTTGACGTCACATTAAAGTGATGAATATTGACGGATATCTACCTTACTTTCATTTTTCCAAAGAACACATACATTTTATTAAGTAAAAGTAACGATTCGAATATTTTATAAAATAATGTAATAAACGTATGCTTAAATCATAGGCCCCACCATAAGCAATTTATTTAAATTGAAAATAAATTACTGAAATACCGGGACACGAAAATAAGCGCGGTCCAAAAATGTTTTTGTATTTAAATTCCATTTCAGCTTCATTTCCGAACGGAAGTTTTTGAAATTTGTTAGTAGGTCCTATGTTAAAATTAAAACATGCTGTATAAGATGTTTATCGTGTACCTAAATGGAAAATCCCGCTGAAGGTAACCATTCCATACGAATATAGTACTCTGTTTGTTCAAGTTCTACTATTACTTAACGACACCAACACTACAGTGTGTGCACTATCAACAATGCTGATATTTTTAATGGACGTAACGTTAGAAAAAAAAAACACAATCAACAATTACAAAATTTTGTTAAAGAAATTATTGTATTAAACCTAACTAATTAGAGATATTAGCGTGCTTATTGTGAAGGTTCACTATGCTAGTCTCGACATCTATGAAAATTATATCAATCTATGAAATGTTAAACGGACACAAGTGATATTTATAGTCGTGACCTAAGTAACATTTATTTATTATATTTTCTTTCTGACTTTCCTATTGAAGACAAAGAAGTTAGCATGACTTTGAGTTACATTTTTAGATAACAAAGATCAATAACATTTAGATGTAGGTGCATTTATCTTGCTATGAATAGATCTATCAGATGCAATTTACCGAGTGCATTGTAGCTATCTACTTGATCGATTGCGGATAGTAATATTTTTGATGCAACTTTTTATTGAACAAAAGCCCTTTGTGTAGGTAAAACCCATGCCCTTCATATAAGTATGTCTTCTTCGTTATTCCAAATTATCCGACGTTCTTTTCTATCAAATATCATCACAAACTCCTTTCTCTTTCATATCATACTTCACACAATCTATTCGTCTTTTCATTAGAACATACTTAGGTATATAAAAAGTGTAACGAATGAAGTTTCTTGCTCGTTCTTCTTCATTCGAATCTACATTTTGGAATGAGTACCTAGCTTCACCTAGCTTCACTGACGGACTGACTGACAGACTATTATTTATTTTGTATTTCTTGACGTTTCAAAAGTGCCAAAATATGGTACTTTTGAAATAAATAGAAATAAATGCTTTGACTTTGACATTGGTCGTCCCCTTTCTTGCAATCCTTCCAGTTTCCACATTTAAATTCGGAACACCTTGCTTTATTTTTTAAAAGGTGCCAAATTCTTTTTCACATTTTTGCTAGCAAATAAGTCTTCTCCAATTTGTCATTCTTCGATTTTCGACCTTATGGCAATTCGATAAAGATCTGCACCTGTTACGTAGTAGTACCCTGTACGGTAGTAAAACTATTGGTCGATAGTGAAATGTTTGTGGATATTTACATTTTCTATCCTAT